AGTGGGCTCCACCGCGGCAGGCAGAGGTGCTCCAGCCCTCACCTGTTAACCAGAACTGGTAAACATCACCTATTAAGAATCCACATCCCTAGTCAGAGATAGCAACCTCACATGCTGAAGAGTCAGTTTCTCACCGGTATGCCATGATACCTTTTTCCATGCTGCCCTTTATGATACAAGCTTAAATACTGCGAGAGAGTTTACCTACAGAGTCACACTGACCCTGGAACTTGCTGGGATTATAAGGATTAACTCTTATAGAGTAGCTTGCAGGATTGAGGCCTAAATTATCACATTCAAAAGCAGCATTAGATAGGTTAAAATGAAATCATCCGTCATGGGAGTACATTTGATTTGTGACTAAAGCCATATGAGCTATTACCTAGATTTAGGTTTCTTGGATTTCAGTCTCAGCTCTGTCACTTATGTGCAAGCTCACCTTGAGCTAGTCACCCATAGGTAAATCTTGCTCCCTCATGGCTTAGTCAGGATCTGAAAAGCAGCACAAATAAATTAGTCAATGTTTTATATTTCCTACATATTTTATCCATTTTGTAAAAGATACTTGCCCCCTAGTGAGAGAGGGAGAAATACTATAAAGTATCAATCTTTTTAAAAAAAATATTCATGGTCTGGTTGTGTTAATGGAGTATTATCACCATACGGGAATAAATGCCATTAATTACCAGCACTACTGTATACATATGTATCTAAGGTCCACCTCACTGAGTTGATAAAAGAAACTCTCTTATCAACTTTCTTTACTCATCTTATTTTGGTGGAGTACCAGATTCGATGGGGAAGTGATTGGTGCTCGATTTAATGGGTCACCAGAACCGCTAAATCAACCCTTGGTGGATCGATCTCTGCAGCATTCATTCCTCCCATAATGGAGCCATACCCCAAGTGAAGTAAAAGACACAGCTATTGACTTCAATAGAGGATAGTTCTAGGGTCTATGGGCTGGTGAGAGTCTAGTCCAGTGGTCCCCAACCTTTTGGGGCTGCCAGGCACCCGGGGCAGGGCTGTTCATGCACTGCACGCCCAGGGCAGGGGCCACACTCAGGGCGCAAGAATGGCTCAGGCTGGCCCGGGTCACTAGGCGGGTGTACATAAATGCCCTGGCGGGTGCCATGGCACCCACAGGCACCGTGTTGGGGACCACTAGTCTAGTTGGTTGATACAGTCATAAAATGGAATTTTCAGAAATGGTTAAGTGGCTTAGGAACACAAGTCTCATTCAAAAATATAATAGAATTTATTCTCCTAAATCACTTAAGCTTATTTGAAAATCCCACCCATATATTTAGCGTTAGTATTTTTAAAAGTGTTTTTTACAGTAATCCAGTAATATACACTGACAGGAGTCAGTGCCAAATGCTTCAGAGGAAGGTACAAGAAATCCCCCACAGTGTACAATTATGGAATAATTTGCCCCCGGGGGAAATTTCTTTCTAACCTCTGGCAGTTATTGGCTGGCTTATGCCCTAAAAACTCAACATGGATGGAAATATTATTGTTGTTGTTTTATTTATATATATATATAAAACAAGCTCACTGCAGATGCTATTATCCATAAAAATATTCAATTCTTTTTATATAGTTGGAACCCTTTTTTTTTTCAGTGCCTTTTTTTGCGGCCCAAAAATATAAACGCATATAAACTGGGTTGAGACAGGAGGTGTGGGCTCTGGGGTGTAAATGAGGGATTTAGATGTGGAAAAGGGTGAAAGGTGCAAGCTCCAGGAGAGAATTTGGATGCAGGAGGATGTAGAGAAGGGGACGCTGGCTCAGGGAGGGGGCTCCAGGCTGGGGAGTGTTGGGCTCAGGTGGAAGGTTGGGGTGCTGAGCAAGCCACAGGTTTGTGGATATGAGGATGCAGGAGTTTGGGGTTGCGGGTGTGAGGGGCTCAGAGCAGAGAGGTTGGGAGTATGATGGGCTCAGATCACAGATTTGCAGTGTGTGAATGGTGCAAGAGTGTTGTGGCAGAAGATTGAGGATGTGGGGTTGCAAGAGTTTGGAGATGAGAAGCTTAGGACAGGGGGTTCTAGTGTATGATAGGCTCAGATTTGGAGTCGGGACGGGGAATACAGGAGTGTTATGATGCTGTGACCAGATGACAACTTGGCCCCATGGGGGGCTTGTTGGCCAGGCTTCATTTTTAAATAAAATATTGTCAAACACAAAAGATTTCAGCATCGTCTTTATTTATGAGAAGGGTGGGTAACCTGTTTTGAGTTGGGGCCACTGGCCCACAGAAAATTCAGTCGGGGCCACACAAGTGAGATACAAAAACACAACACCTCCATACCCTTCAAACCTCACTAATGTGGCCCCAACTGTGCTTGTGGGTGCTGGGACAGGGTTCTGGGGCAGGGTGCTTGTGGGTGCTGGGGCAGAGGACAGGGTGCTGGTGGATGCTGGGGTAGAGTACTTGTGGGGATCTGGGTGGAGGGGAGGGGACAGGGACCCATACCTGGGGATCCTGCAGCTGCATGCCAAGGCCCAGTAAGTGCGCAGGCTGCTCCCCTGTACTCCAAATAGGTGAGGTACCTGAAACACTGGTCCATCGCATGCCTGATGCCTTCCTGCACAGGGGGAAAGGGAGTCCCGGACCGCGCCAGCCCCAACCGCTCGGGCAGCACGCGCCTTGTTCCTCCGCTTCCCATGTCAGCACATGCCACCCGAGCAGCCGGATCCCAAATCCCCACCCCCTCCGCAGCGCTCAATGGACCAGCATTTTAGGTACCGCGCCAGCTATTGAGGCAGGGGAGAGAGCAGCCTGCGCACTTCTGGGACCTGGCGCACAGCTGCAGAACTGCCCTCTGACCCCACAGGAAGCCTGCACTACCTCCGTGGTCCCTGGAGATAGCATCAGAGCGGCCACACACACACACCCCGTCCCCAATCCCAGCCGCTTTATCGGCCGGCGCTGGCTCCCTTTCTGCGTCAGTGTGCCCGGCCTCCTCCCTGGTTCCTAGCGCCCGCCGGATCTAGCCCCACCACCCGGAAGCGTGCCCGACAGAGACACCGCGAGCGGAGGGCTCTCTCCCAAGAATCATGAACGCAAATTTTTCTGAAGACCGGTATTGGGTCGTGAACCACACTTTGGGAAACGCTGGTTTAAAGCATATGAATGTGAGCGAGGAATTCTGTTCCTGGCTATTTTATTGACTTCCCATCTGCCCTTGAGCAAGTCACTTACTGTTGGAATAGTCTTTCTTTTATTATTGAAAATGTGTATGCAAACTATGTTCAACATTTTAGAGAAGTGTACCAAGAATCTTGAACACGATTATTTGAATTAGTTGTGAATTTGTTCTTTCATTTCTTAATTAATGAAATACCACTGTTTTCCAAATTCCAGATCTAGAGTGGCTGAACACCGAAGGCCCCATTTCTCTGTACAAAGACCTTTGTGGAAAAGTGGTGGTTTTGGATTTCTTCACTTACTGCTGCATCAACTGCATACACCTGCTGCCTGATCTCCATGTGTTAGAGCACAAGTACTCTGATAAAGGTATCAGTGATTTAGTATGCTTAGAATAGAATTTCTTGGCAATATCACAAATGGAGTAGCTGAGTCATTTTGTTTCTGGTTACTAAACATTTGGCAAGCCTTCAGTGGTGTCTAAAAGTACCTTTTAATCTATGTTTGCCTCAAAACAGGAGGACTGTATGTACTCCCACAACACTTCTAATAGAGGTTAGATTTGGTAGTTGTTACATCTGTGTATTTAGAAAAGCAGTATTAGTACTTTAAAGTCCAAGTCTGCGACTCTCATGAATAGGACTGTTTGCAGAATAAGGTGCTACTCAGTGTGAGTAAGGGTGCAAGAACGGACCCTGAATTTCTAGACCTCTATGAGCCACTGAATTTGCTTTCAGGCCTTGAAAGGTTTAAAAAAAACCAGATTTTAAGTAGGCGAGGTTCTGTACCAGCTGTGATCAGAGTACACACACCTGATGTATGTAAACTTACAATTTTCTTGGGGTTTTGTTTTATTAATAACTGCAATAACAACAAAATAAAAAGCTGATCTAAAGTTTTCCCCAAAGTTTGGCTGTTCATAGGTTTTTTCCTGCAGGACCTCCTCACTTCACTCTTACTTCTCTTTGCTCCAGTAATGCATTTCAGCTCCTCTTTAAATTCTGGTTGCAGATTAAATCTGCCTGCCTTTCTGACTAGGTAGACAGGTAATATCTTTAATTAGACTCACTTCTGTTGGTGAAAGAGATACAGTTTTGAGCTTCTTAAGTAATAATTGCCATCCATCTTTATGAAGAATTCTGATCTCCTGACATCAGGATGAGTCAGAAGAGGAGAATTGCATTCTTAGTAGGGTCCTAAATGCTACTAATCAGTGATGGACACTTTATAGCATATTGGAAAAGATATTTTTTTCTGATGAGATGAGAGGGATTGAAACTAACTTTGGTCTTCAACTCTTTGTTATGGCCTATCATAATTTACCATGTTTAATATTTGTTTGACCTCCCATGGGGCTCTCTTATTAATTATCTTCTTGATATTTAACTTATTGCATTTTTCACTTCAGTTAAAGTAATAAAACATAGCTAGTTTTTCACAAAGTATTGTTATTGATATACTGTAATAAACACACACAACACCTTAAAGAAGACTTACAAAGAAAGTTCCCTGCCCTGAAGAGTTTATAGCTTATTTCAGGGAAATACAATATTTGGTACAATGGTTGAGATAAAAGAAATGGAGAAGTTGCCAGTGAGGAAATACTATAACAGCAATTTGAGACAAGCAAATTCTAGGTGGTACAGCGGAAGTAATTGACACATGGGAAATGGGCTGTTCCAGAGTTGCAGGAAAGGCTTATGTGAAAAGTGCAGTGTAAGAAAGCACTGGTATTTCAGTGAATAGTATATCTTTTCTTTTACTACTTCTAACTTTATTTCTATCTACATACGTCTTTGGCTCTTAGACTGCAATACAGTGGAACTCAATCTTGAGGCAGTTCCTTCGAAACTCTGCAGCTAATCAAATAGTTTTGAATAAAATCCATCCCTCTAGCTTTGTGTCTTCCAACTTTTTTGTTTCCCTCCACTCCTATGTTGAACACCATTGCCTATATTCTTCCTCTCTTCTTTTCACATGCCTAAAACATACAAGCTTTTCTATAAGGCCTGGTCTAAAGGGGAAAGTTGACTTAAGATGCGTGACTCCAGCTACATTAATTACGTAGCTGGAGTCAAAGTATCTTAAATCAGGTTTAGGCACTGTCCACACAGTGGAAAGTTGATGGGAGCACATGCCCCCATTGACTTTCCTTACTTCTTGTGAGGAGCAGGGCTACCAGTGCTGACAGGGGCACCCTCTCAGTTCGAATTAGCAGGTCTTCACTAGACCTGCTAATTAGAACCTTGGAGATTGACTACAGCAGTATCGATCTCCGTAGTGTAGACCAGCGCCCATTCACTGGCTGCCAGGCCACAGAGGCTGCCAGAGCTCAAGCTGGCTGTTCACAGCATCTCAGTCCTGGCAGCCATGGTGGCTGAGGCACGGCAGGAGGAGGCGGAGAAGGAGGCGCCTTTCGCCCTCCTCCATCCTCCATGCTTGGGGAGGGAGGCAGCGGGCCCCTGCCTGAATGGCCACTAAATGGTTCTAAATATGATTCATTCTTGTGACGCCAAGCATCCATCATTTCTACTATATTCAAGATCTGCTCCTGTCTCTTCCACACTGCCCTGCACAGCTTACAGGAAACTTAAGGCTAGGGATGGGAAAGGTTAATCAGTTAGCTGGTTAATTGTTAACTGGTGGGGGCTGGAGTTTAATTGGCTAACCAATTAAATGGAATTTTACATCCCTACTTAGGGCCACTGATTGGGGACTGATGGCAGGTGGGAGGTGCTAGTGGAGGAGGAGCCTGTGAGTGGAGGGACTACTAATAGATTTTCAGCATGTACCATTTTTCCCCCGGCTGTGTCTACACTGCACCCCTTTTCCGGAAAAGGGATGCAGATTAGACACTTTGGAATAGGCAAATCCGCGGGGGATTTAAATATCCCCCGCGGCATTTGCATTAACATGGCTGCTGCTTTTTTCCGGCGTGGGGATAAGCCAGAGAAAAGCGCCAGTCTAGACGTGATTCTCCGGAAAATAAACCCTTTTCCAGAGGATCTCTTATTCCTATGGTTTATTTTCCGGAGAATCACGTCTAGACTGGCGCTTTTCTCCGGCTTATCCCCAAGCCGGAAAAAAGCGGCAGCCATGTTAATGCAAATGCCGCGGGGGATGTTTAAATCCCCCGCGGATTTGCCTATTCCAAAGTGTCTAATCTGCATCCCTTTTCCGGAAAAGGGGTGCAGTGTAGACACAGCCCCTGTGTGTGTGCTAGTCCCAGGCTACCCATGAAGTCAGTGCCTATGCCACCAGCCTTTAGGGAGTGCCAGACTTGTCTCCTGCTATACCCCTCCAATTCTGATTTTTCCGGAATGCTTTACCCTTTTTCTTGCTGCTCTAGGCTAGTGTTGCACTAGTGCTTGTGCCAAAAATCAGCAATGGGGAGGCAGCTCCCAGGAAGAAGATAGCTTAATGTCTAAAAGTCTCCCTGCTGAAAAGGTTTGCAGGAGATAGGGCAGATAGGAAGAAGCTTGGTATGTGAAGGGGAAGCAGTGATGATTACTGGGAATATTAGGGAAACAGAGCTTTTTCCAGGAAAGGAATGGGAAAATGACCATAAGAACAGTGAGATTAGTAGATCTTCTGCAGGTTGGTGTGAAGAGTGAAAAGAAACAGGAGTTCAATTTACTTATGTCCCATTCCTTGTTCTGTGTGGCTATGTCTAGACTGCAGGCTTCTTTCGAAAGAGGCTCTTTCGAAAGCATCTTTCGAAAGAGCCTCTTTCAAAAGATCGCGTCTAGACTGCAGGCGGATCTTTCGAAAGAGAAATCCGCTTTTTCGAAAGAGAGCACCCAGCGAGTCTGGATGCTCTCTTTCGAAGACGGCCTCTTTACATTGAAGAACGCCTTCTTTCGAAAGACGAACTTTCGAAAGAAGGCGTTCTTCCTCGTAAATTGAGGTTTACCGCCATCGAAAGAAAAGCCGCGTTCTTTCGAAATAATTTGGAAAGAACGCGGCTTGAGTCTGGACACAGGGGAAGTTTTTTCGGGAAAAGGCTACTTTTCCCGAAAAAACCCCTGAGTCTGGACACGGCCTATGAGTGTACACTTGATGTTTCTGTGACTTAATGTATGATTTAGATATTTGAAGGCATGATGCCTTTCCCCTTCTATTTTATTGCATAGTGGAAGCATGAATTAAAGACTATATAAAACATGCATGGGAGTATCTTTTTCTTATTTATTATACTATACATTAACTTCATAGAATGTCAGAAAGTACTAACATTTGTTTTATGATCACATTGTGCAAGTACTCTGCTGACATACAACAAATAACATGGCTACATCCAGACTGGCAAGTTTTTCCACAAAAGCAGCCACCTTGGCGGAAAAACTTGCTAGCTGTCTACACTGGCCACTTGAATTTGCTCAAGAACACTGTCGATCTAATGTAATATTGTCAGTGTTCTTGCGCAAATACTATGGTGCTCCCACTAAGGGATAAGCCCTCTTGCGCAGGGCCAGTGTAGACAGGGGAGGACTGTTTTGCGCAAAAAAGGCCCGATGGCAAAAATGGTGATCGGGGCTTTCTTGCGCAAAACCGCATCTAGCTTGGCACGGATGCTTTTCCTCAAAAAGTGCTTTTGCGAAGAAGCATCCATGCCAATCTAGGCGCTCTTTTCCGCAAATGCTTTTAACGGAAAAACTTTTCCGTTTAAAGCATTTGCGGAAAATCATGCCAGCGTAGACGCAGCCTATGAGATTAGATTGATGGAACTTCAGCAATATGCTGCTGTGACATGAGATGCCTGATCATAAGAAGGTGTTGTTTTAAGATGATCAGAAACCTCAAACCTAGCTATATGCACATACACACATTTTAATTATCTGGATCTTCAATAGGTTTGTCTCAAAATAAAGCTCACTTTTGATGAACTATATGCCACCCTGATCTTTACCTGAAATAGTCTTGCCTGTATCTCTAGCAGCACTATTTCTGTTTTCAAAGTGGCATTCAGTATGTTATTTTAAGCCCCAGGGCATATTCAGTTCATGTTATCAGTAGACCAAAAATTGCCTGTTGAATTTCTATAAGAGGAAATACTTTTTTAATATTCAGAAACCGTTTGGCAGAGGCCCAAATTTGTGCTCTTGAATAATCCTTGAAACCCAGGTTTTAATCTGGGGTATGTTAAAATGGCAACACGTTCATCAGTCGATACAGTAGTTTGCACAATTTAGATTGTTTGCTTTTTTGAAAAAAAAAGAAACCCTAAATGTCCTCTGGGCTCACAAATTGTAGGATATATTTAATCTAATGCAGATTAAAAACGATTGAAAACACTAACTTTCTTGCCACAAATTATATACTTTAAAATTTATATGAAAATAGCAATTGTATAGCAAAAATCATAACTT